CAGAGGGCTGGAGCAACTCCCCTATGAGGTCAGGCTGAGATGGGAGAGGCTACAGGAGAGATGGGGAGGCACTCTTTATCAGGGAGTGTAGTGAGAGGACAAGGGGTAATGGGTATAAGCTAAAAGAAGGTAAATTTAGACTAGACATGAGGAAGAAATTTTTCACTGTGAGGGTGGTGAAACACTGGAACAGGTTGCCCAGGGAAGGTGTGGATGCCCCATCCCTGGAGGTGTTCAAGGCCAGGCTGGATGAGGCTTTGAGTAACCTGGTCTAGTGGGAGGTGTCCCTGCCCATGGCAGGGGGGGTGGGAATTGATGAGGTTTGAGGTCCTTTCCAACCCAAACCATTCTATGATTCTATGATATCTAATAATAAACGTGACTCAGTTCAAGACATGTTTACCTTAGCCTTAAGCCAACAATTATCTTCACTGCATTATAAACTGCAGTCTCAGATTTCCAGGTTTATTATAAGAAACACAAGGATGAAGGAAAATAGGATGTACTTCACACTGTCATCCTTTTGTAGGCTTGCATACTGCTCAGAAGGCCCAGTCACAGACTAGGACCTTATTTTGACAACTGAACATCACACAGAAATGATCTCTGGAGTCAAAGGTTCACCACTGTTGTTGAATGACAAGTACCAAGCCCACATTGCAGTATCAACTGAATACTGTCAACCAAGGAAAGCAAACTGTAATATGGAAGTTTATCTCCCATTTATACGTGCACATAAATGTTTCCACGAAATGCACACTTTGTGGTTCACAGCAGTGCCTCTCTTACGCATTTGCTCAAACTCTTCAGAAATCACTACTTCCTTATTCTTTAAAGAGAAAAGTCGCCCTAAAGAATGATTAGCCATCAGCTAAAATGGAACTAAGATTTGATCTCTAGTGTATTAGCTGGGAATATTCAATTTTTGTTGCCCTTGAGATTAGGAGGTGTTTTGCATATTAATTCCTATTGAAAGTTGTTCCAAGCAGAAATAATTGTTTTTCACTTGCCTAAATACAGAGATACACCTGCTCTGCAACACAAATACAATGCAATATCCAGTAAAACAAAAAAAATGTTTATTTAAACAGTATTGTGATTAACCAGGTTTTGGGGGTTCTTGATGTCATTTTGTAATATTAATCCAAAATTTAAATATTTGGAATGTTTGTCTAATATCTTTTTCTCTGATAAAATAATTTTCTTTTGCTGTTGCCAGTGTAAATCACTAATAGTGCTACTGGATTCATGTCTCTTACAATGCTCAGAAAAAGCAAATTTCAAATAGCAATTAATTAATTCATACTTGAATAACCTAGAGGAGTTAAAGTTGAGGATTATCTTCTGATTTCGTGCAAACGAGAACTTACTAAAAAGAAGTGCAAAAGTCAGAAATGGGGTCTCATTTACAGACTTTGGATGGAAGTTCCCTTCCTTTAATTTATCAACATTCCTTTCCTTCAATTTATCACCTCACTCCTTTATTTAATCTCTCCAGTTCCTCTTTCTCCTTGCTGTAGGCCACATTTGTGCTAACAATCTGATGACGGACAAGGGCATTAAAGTTGTCACAAGTGGCAGCTGTGAATGCTTTCAACATGAAGGAATCTTTGGCCCCTCCAGCGTTAAGAGTACTATTTAATTGCACAAGGCACTGGAATCTATTTGAAAGATGCTCCTTGCCACCAGTACCCACGTAATACACAACATTTTTAAGCATGCACAACACACAGGGAAAAATTTAAACTAAGGCAACTTGGAACTACCTTAAAGTTGCTCTTAATTATCCTGGCAGGGAGGAGGAATCCTTTACTCACCTTCCTCATGTTTAAATTCCTGACTTTAAGTTTTCATGAACTGCAGAATTGGCCCAGCCTGCATCTCAGCTCACATGCTACCACTATTTTTACCACTATGTTCTGCACAAATATAATGCTTCTCTTTCCATTTGTGAAGAACCTATCTATATACATGCAACTTCAATAAATATTTGGACATTTATTTCTGCTGGCCCTTACTACTGTGTTATCTGCATAATTTGGTATAATGGAACTTTCATCTTAAAAATTTTCAAGGACAGATATAAATGTCAGATTATCCAAAGTAACTTTTTTCTCCCCCATTCCTTAATTTAAAAGCCACTCCTTAAGTTTAGTAGTTACAAAACCAGTGGACTGTTTAAAATACACACCAGCATTCCTTGAACCTGTAACTTCTGCAGCCACAGCAAAATCTACACACCCATCATAACCACTGCTGGACTGACTTTTTCATGCTGGAGGGTAACTTGAAGGCCATGTGAACTGATCTTATTATCAGATCTCTCTTCCCATGTTCATAGAAGTAATTCTTGATTATTTCCAAGCTAGGTATCAGTTGCTCTTATCAACGTGTGTGAACCAGTCAGAGTATTTTTTTCTTTCTTTACATAGCAAATACACCTTATTCCTCAGAGCTAAGAGTGAAATCTTGAGCCCAGAAGGAGGATGACTATCCCTACCTAAGTTATTATTTTGCAAAGAAATACTAATTTCCTTCAAAGTCAATGCATGCACTTGGAGCTTTGTGTATGCCTCTGTGTGTGTACATGTCATTACTCAGTATATCCATCCATTTGCCAGCCAAGATATATTAGTCAAATATTATGTTCCAGGAAAACAAAACAAGTAATTTGTCATGTCGATTTTCAACACTCATATTACCACCAGCTTTTGTTTCCCTGCATGTGTTTTTTCAGATCAGGAACATGATCTGTTTTATTTTTTGCTATAACACAGGGTGAAGACATTGTTATTTCCTATACAGTACAATAAGTGCAATAAACAGAAAAAGCCCTTGAAATGTTAATGCCATTAAAGAAAGTATACAATTCACCAAAGAAATACAGATGACACTTCACAAAATGGTATCTGAACAAAATGTTTTGCTTTGATTCAGAGTAGAAACTCCTCACTCTTAAATGTGCCTGTTGGCTAATTAATGTAATCAGAGTTTCACAGAGCTTGTGTGAAACAGGAAATCAACTTACCTTTGAACATGGGGATGGCGAGTGAAAGGCCAGATTGTTCAGAGAAGAGGGTATTTTGTTGGAAGGGAAAAGGTGGCTCAGAGGAATTATAAAACAAAATCCTGAAGGTCTCTGAAACACATTATCAGTACTTACACCAAAGGCATGGGTGTCAGTAACTGGGACAATGTTTTCAATGCTCAGAATCTTATCTTGCACTGCACAGTACACAGACAAAAATTTTAAGAATGTTCCAAACCAAGCATAAGACTCAATTTGCTATGCTACCTTCTCTTTATCTTGTTTGGATATGTTATTAGATATTGTATGTTTCTAGACATGTTAACTCTAAACATTAGCACAATTACACATAGGTAACATGAAATATCTGAACTTGTGGGTTTTTACAAAAAGGATATTTTTTCAGCATATATAGAGTAGCCAGTCTTGAAGCTCGAAAGTTGGCTCTGACAGATCGATAAACAGCTTTCCGGAGACCAATAAGATGCTGACAAGGATGCTGTCCAGCTTTATTAAATGGGCAAGCGGCACTGACCCTGTCAAGCAAACTTGAAAAGTAAAATGTGATACAACTGTACAGATGTCCTAAAGTATTTTTAAAAGACAGTACATCGGTTTTCTTATTCCATTACTTAGAAAACTTTTCCAAACCACTCAGTAACTATGAGAGCAAAAAAAGAAAAAAATCCACCATATCAATGATATATTTAATCAAAATTTCAGATAAGCAGCCAGGATTCCTCAGCAGACAGCCTGACTCTATTCTGATCTGAGCCATGGCAAAACTCCTGAGGACATTTGTTTTCTCTTAAGTTTTCCAAAATGATACACTAAGGATAGACAGGCTATAACATTATCTCTGATACAGAGCGATCACAAGCCCACTGTAAGCTTTGGAAGTTTTAACACAGATATTTAACATGCACCTCTTTATATGCAAATTGGTTCTTTAAATATTTTTTGCAGAAAAAAATGTGCTACTACTTATTGTTTTTCATGCAAAACACTATATTCTTTCAACCTTCTGCATGCAGTATCTTCTCTAGGTCAACAGAAATCTTATTTGAGTGGTGACATAGATTTAATCACCATGCAATGAATGACAGCTGTGTTTGTGGGAGTCTGACAGGTAAACACATGAAATGTATGAAACTATACAAGCATATTTGAAAATATATTTTGGTGTCCACATATTCAGGTGAATATACCATTTAAATAAACTGTGCCATTTGCCTATTAGAATGTACTTCCGAATAGCCTGTGTAAATGTAAGAAATTGCCTCATCTGGAAATAAATGGAATTGTGAACTGGGTGAATATTAAACATGTCTGTATTAAGCTGCAGAAGAGGAAAAAGAGATTAATATCCAGTTACGTCTATTCATATACAGTCTGATGAGAGACCTACGACAGAGACACTGAAAATAGCCTAAGTCTGCTCTACCTACTGTGACTGTTTTTACTAGAATCAACTCAGAAATGGACATAGTATGGACAACAGGACAATGAATTGTGATGAATTTTTTGGGGACTGGAAGCCTGTTTCTGCTCGCACCTTTCCCAGGGCATGGTGAGGAGGTGACTTCATCTCCAGAGTCACTTAAAAGGCAAAACCATACAGGGTACCTGGCAAGACTGAGGTGGGTTGCTGCACTGGTAACTATTTCTGTAGCCCATCTGACTGAAGAGCTAAGCCAGCAGACCTGACCCTGCTGGAAAAATGTCAGTCTTACTGCATGTGCTTAGCTGGACCATGCTGCACATTGACCGGGAGGGGAAATAGCTTATTGCCTTCACTCTCAGATATGAAAAGCAATGCAGCCCACCCAGTGAGCAAGGCTGGACCCATGCAGTATGATAAATATGATTAACACCAGGAGACTGATGCCAAATACTGCAGTATATAGAATACGTTAGCTGAAGTACAACATTAAAATATCTGTGTATCGTATTAAATTATATGAGTGATACAAAAATGGTTTATATAACATCTCATAAAGTACTTTAAAATCTGAACAAAATAAAAACAAACTGTGTTAATTTCAATTCCTAAATGTAAATTTAAAATGCTAGTCTTGCCATACATATCACTAGGGAACACAGCATTTAATGTAGTACATGCCAATCTCTAATGTTTCCCTTGCTTTTGAAGGTAACAGCTGGAAGTGTTTATGGATAAATGCTTATATCAGTTTGTAGACTCAAGCCCTGGGTGAACTGTCAGAAGCAGGCTCAAAGAAAAGGAGCAAAATTCCTTGACCGTAACAGAGAGAGAGAGAGATCTATGTTCTGCTACAGTGATGGAAGCATTCCTATACAGAACAGCTCCTATACAGAACAAATATAGCACAACTCATGCACAGCATGTGCCGCCAGTATTCAGCAAAACGATTTGCTTTCCTGCTGGGAAGGCTTGTTTCAGTGTTTTTTATAAAATAATTCATCTTTATTCCAGTAATATTAAATTAGTATAACTTGCTATAAATGTCTATGTGCCAGACACGCCATATCCCTAACGTCCTAATGTTCCATTTATCTTCTATATATCTTAATCACTCTTACAAAATGTTATCAGCTTGTGTATCAGCCACCAATAGCAAGAAGAAAAAAAGGTTAAGGGTGAATTTCCTCTTTACTACTGCTCCAAACCCATTTCACTTGTAAAGAACAGTGACTTATTTCTCCATTAATCTCACAAGCCAAATTTTAAACAGGATGTCAACTTTTAACAACCTTGTATAGACACATTAATAAAAACCTATTACTGGGCTGAAACATGTAAGCAGTTCTATAAAGATGCTATATACACAAATATGTGCTTGTAGATCTTGATTCTAGGATAAAATATAGTAGAAAGGCGCATTTTGGTGAAAAGCTAATTAATTCAGTGACAGACAAGGAAATAAGTACTTGCTGCTTATTGCTGCAGCTTTTCGTTACGTATTCCCACAGTTTTCATTTTATAATGTGCAAGACAATGGACATACTTTCATTAACCAGTGAAAATTCCAGGCTGCAACCCATGATCGGGCTTCATTTGTCTGATTGCAAGTGAAGCAATTAGACAGAAATACTGTCATTCTGCCTGAGTAGAGCACTGCCCTACCTTGGCTACACAATTTCTGTAATCCAAATTACCCTTGTGAGGTCTCGGCCATCTCTGCATCACAGAGCTCGTACCATGCAGACACACCTGAAATGCCAACAGCAGCGTTAAACACTTCTGAAGGCCATTCTGAAATCAGAATATCCAGGTGCCTTTGAGAGCAGAAAATGTAAGAGAGGCCTGGCAGAGTGGCCTAGCCACTTTTCTAAGGGGCTGCTATGAGGGGTTTTTTTTGGGGGGTGAGAGGGGAATGATGGCAAAACAGTGCTTGAATTGGTTAAGCATATAGCAGTCACTACCACACAGCAACACAGTGAACCAGTGGACAACTGACCAAAACCTCATCAAGAAAAATTTAACATTTACAGAAACAGTCAAATATCAGTTAACAAGGGGCAAATAGGGCAGAATAAAGCAAAGCCACGGATATTTCAAAGCATATGTAAGTCAGCCTATGAGTACATAGCAATGGATGGTGCAATAGGGAGAAAAAAGAATGGTGGAACGCAAGGAACTTCAGGCCAAAACTGCAGACCTGGGCTTGCATTATCAGAGTTTAGCCAAGCACTGCTAGCCAAAATCTGAACCCAGTACTATTTAAATGTCAGCTTCAGTATCTTTCCATTCACAACATGGTCAATGAACAGTCCAAACTATGCTGAGCTAGCAGCATATTAAAACAGCAGAGTACATATCATTGAACAGGGTGCTGTGCTACCTGTTTGAAATCCCATTCCTTCAAGGATGTAAAATGACACAAGAAGATACTCATTAACTTTTCAGACCCAACCATTTCTATAGCCATGTGACTCTTTCTGAACAAGCATTAACACTTTGACAAGATTACTATGGGAGAACATACTAAACTTTGTTCTGTTAAGGTTTATTGTAGCAAAATCCTGGAAGAAAAAAGGGGTAGCTAGTTTTTTGGATCATACATGAAGCACTATCTCAAGCAAAGAATTTCATGGTGCCCTGTGCAGCAGCATCTCTTGCATACGTGGATGCAGGAAAGGACATGCCGGAGTTAGAACCTCCTCCAGGCTAAACCAAACCAAAACCTGTACAGCACTGCCTTCTTCATACTGTACAATTATTCCAATGAGGATGCTGGCACAGTCAGACTTCTCCCACTCCATCCATACTCCAAAGTCTTTTGAAAAGCTTGCCAAAGTTTTAAGTAAAGAGGCTACTAGATCAAGCATCAGCTTAAAAACAGTCTGTTTTTTGTTAATCTGTCATCTAAGATATGTAGTAAAAGAACAAGGCACCAGAAATGTAGACATTGACCACAAGTTCATTTGCTTAAACTTAGGAAAAAATCCAAATGTTTTTCTCATCTGTAATTTGGACAAGCCCTAACAATAATTTCTTTTAAGAACCCATTTGCAAAGATAAGACTGCCTATTGCTTAACTACATGCTTTTTCAGAAAAAAAAAACACCAAAAACCAAAAAAAACCCCAAACTAAAACACATAGCCAGGCAGACGGAAGACATGCTTATGCATTCCAAAGGGAGAATGAAACATTTCTTCAATGAAGCATACTGAAAGCATCTCAAGCTAGAAAATTAATTCAAAATGTTAAGTTTACAGTTTCAAGTTTGCATGTAAAAACACGTGCCTGAGCACAGAATAGTTGGTCTGGCATGAACAAATTATTTCTTTGTACACACAAGGATATTTTTTATTGTTTTTAGAAAGAAGTCAACTGGATTTTAGCTGTTGTCATTTCCCACCTCCTTTAACCTTAAGTCTAACTGGCACAGGTACATACCTAAGCATAGGTTGTTTCAAGGGAAAAATACACATGGCAATGAGAGTGCACAAAAGCATGTCTGTTGGCCTTGGGATCATGGCATACACTCAACATGTACTCATGTCCATTTACATAGCAAAGAAGCAGAAATTACTAAATAACTACAAAAGCTAAATAACCAGGAAAACTTTCACATCCCTTAAGTGGATGAGAGGCAAATTTGTCAGTAAATAGGTGAAGAATCTAAACATCTCAACAACTGTATGCAAGAAGTAGAGTAATGTAAACTTTATTTGAGATGACAAATAACCTCTGCTGGTCTTTCCTGATTGCTGTGTTCTCATTACTTCAGACTGTTATTTATTCATGTCATCTTGTTTTCTAAAACATGAATGATTACTTGCAGGTCAGTTTATTTACACAGATTTGGTAATATAAAATACAAAAAACCCTCAAACAAACCACCCTTTAAATTACTCCCCAAAATAGTTAACTAAATTTGTTCAAAATCCATTTCTTCACATATTTCATTGCTAGCAGAGCAGATTTCAAAGGCATACGAGTTTTGTGAGACTTAATTCTCCTTCAGGATGCAAGGTTTTAACACTGAGTTGTTACAATTCATACTTTTAGTATGAATGGTAATGATGCTATTTTATGTAAACAAAAAGCTTAAAGTATTATGTTTTTTGGTAATTCTACTGAGAGACAGTGTAACAAGACAATTTTAGAAGACATCTCACTTGAGTGGATCTGTGTATTAAATAAAGTGAAATATAGACTCACAGGGTAAATCCTCTGGAAATTACTTCAGTCTCTTGAATGAGTCGTAGAGCTTTCCTCACGAGATTAGTAAAAGCTCGGCTATTTGCCACCGTTTCTTCCAGCTGGATACAGTATTTTCGCAGGGACATTTGCAGTTTGGCTGTCCTCCATGTGCCCCACACTCGAAAGACTGCATAGACAAACAGAAGTAGTCCCCACAGCAGCCATGATGATTCCTTCCACCACGAAGGAAGCAAAAGCAGTGCACTTACAAAGGCAAGGAACAGCGAGACGTCCCTGCAAAAAGAGAAAGTCTCATCAACCACAGATTTCTGAGGTCAAAGAAGTAGGAAAATCGAAGCTTTCAGTTCCATTTGAGATTACGACATCTTATTATGGGGCTTTTATGTAGGTCCTGAAGGGAGCTGTAAACACTGAAAACTACTCCTAGCGGCAGATTTAGATGTATACATACATGATATTACCTGTTCAGTAGACTCTGAGGAAACATTTATCCATCTTTTTTATGGCATGAGTAAAAGAATAATGCACCACTTTGAAAGGTCAGTTTCTCTTGCACATATGGCTTTAAATAAAGAAAGAGAAAATAGAAAAAGAATAAAACCTGACTACTCAGCATTATAAGCCCGGGTGGGTAGGAACTGGAATATCCGTACTTCCAGGTTCAAGAGTACAGTAGGGAAGTGCATGGCTTTTTGGTAACAAAACCCTCCAGTAATGCCAGCTTTATTTTTTCCAGATTCTGACTCATTTAACTTGGACACCAGCACACCACTAGTTTTTAACACATTTTTATAAAGATGGCTTGAATAATCAATTTTAAATAATTTGGCAGCTTTTGAAAATGCTTAAAGAACAGAGTTACTAGTATCTAACTAGTTCAGTTATTTCTCAAGGATATTTCAAAAACATCATGAAGTTGTTATTTTCATCTAGAAAAGTTCAACAAAAATAAGTAGCTGCTAGAAAATACACTGTGTTCCTATATAGTATTATAGTTGCAGCTTTGTAAAATTATTACAGTCTTCACAGAGATGAATGGGATATGGGCTTCAAGGTGCATAACAGCTTTAATTTTTCAGAATTTTTTGAAAGAAAAATATTCACTTTCTTCACCCTTGAAAGCTGCGTATCCTGTATTTAGTTTCAGGAGTATTCACAGGGAGTATTTTCCCATTTCTAAAATAAGACATGGTCTCTGGGTTTCTATTTTCTGGACAGTTTTGTAGTCCTATTTCAACAGGCTTTACAGGTGTTAACTCTGCATGGCTACTGATAGGTTTCAGTAAAGGTCTAGAGTTAAAATATGCCAGATATGTAATTAACTTTAAAAAGTGCAGACACACAGTCTCTAACTTCCTTGGTACATTAAAAAAAAAAAATCACACACACAAGAAAAATGAATCACACAATGAAAGACTAGAAGAGATTTAAGAGCTCACTTTGTCCATTTTCAGTTTCTGGTTAATCCAGATCATTGCAGGCAGACTGAAGAAGAAAATGGAGACTTCATAACCCACCCAGGTCGCTATTCCAAAGTATCTTTAGAGTTCAAAAGATTTCGCTCAAGTCCAGTCTGAATCATTGGCAAATTAATCACATTCTTTTTGCTCATATTCTTCCCTTTTCTGAACAGAATAGATAACTAATGACCTCCTATTAAGTACCTTCTACACATCATAACACCGTTCCATCCCACCTCAATTTTCTCCATTTTGGCCAAACAATCCTAAAACACTCTAATATTTCTGAAAGATTACATTTTCTAAAGTCATTGTTCTTGTTCTGCTCTGGACTGTCTCTAAATTACCTTTGTCTCTCCAGTCGTGGCATCCAAAACCAGCTGGTGTAGCCTAACACAGGGCTCAGGAAAACAGACAGAAAAGTAAAACCCCTGTGTCCTGCACATAACATGGACTCCAGGATGAGATTTCCCATTTTTTGATAATTTGCTAAATATTTCAATTTATGCTCTGCAATAATGTGCACATACTTTTCAGAAGTAGTCCTGCCTACCCAATGATTCACCACTTTGTATTTGTTAATTTGATTTTTCCTTCCCAAGTGTAGCATTAGACACTTGTCTTGATTGACTTTTCTATTGATTTGAAGATATTTCTCCAATTGGTCAAGCTACTTTTGTACTCCATTCTGCCAAACCACTTAAAAACTTGGTGTCATCTGTAAGCTGAGCAATATTGACCAATTTTCTAAGTGTACTTTATCACCTGAACAGTTAAAGAAACAACGAATAGTGCTAGGACCAGGACAAACCACTGGAGAAATCTGGTTCAAAAGTTCTCTTGTTTGCCAGAGAGCATCAGTAATGACATAATACATCTTAAACAGATGGTTTTTTTAACCTACTGTGGTTTTAGAATAATTCCATCTATTTTCCTAACATACACATGAAAACAGAGCACTGAGCTGTTTTATGAGATATTTTTATCTACTGATTCCTATCCATTTCTGAGTAAGTCACTCTGTCAGAACACCTACCATCCTTGTTATTTTTCAAATACTGGTGGCAGCTGCTCAGACACTGCTGCAGCTAGCTCCTTCTGTATTCTAGGGTGAATTTCACCAGCCTATGAATGTGTCATATTTAAATACTCTTCAGTCTGTTCTTTTGGTATTCTACATCTGTGAAAATTAATTGCTCTCCACTACTATTAACATACTTTATGAAGACCACAGCAAATAAAACACTTTCCAATTCAGTTTACACAATCATCTCTCATTATCAAAATCACCACTCAATAGCTTTTGAAATTCATTAATTACTCAACCATGTTAGTTCTTCCTTCTAGCATGGATTAGGGTTTGTAAATATCCATTTATGTTCATGTAGCTATCGTCAGATTAAAACTCACTCTTTCAATAAAATGCCCAAGGGAAAAAACCATGCTTATCCATAAATTTGAGGATTAGTGGACCAAAGACTCAAAGACTTGAGAAAAAAAGAGGTAACTTTATTGCTGCATTTTATATAAACAACACACAACAATTTTTGTTTGCTTGTTTCTCAGTGAATATAGTGGTAGGTATTCTCTGTACAATACCAAATATTAGGAGTTGCTAGGGAGCGTAGCGTTGGAAGCTGTCCATTTTCCTGTTGCTTACACTGCCCTGCAGACAGGATACTGGGGTCAAGGAACTCAATCAGTTCCACATCCTCTTGCAGCAGAACTTCCTGTTGCAGGATGGTACGGAGAGTGTCAAAACGAAATCCAACATCCTTACCACAAATGGGCAGGAGAAAAAACAGGCATTAGTAAAAAATATGCAAATTCTTAAGTTAGCAGAACAAGGAAAATAGCCAGACATTCTACACTTTACTGACAACAATCTGTTCTGAAAGACTACAGGAATATTTCAGATATATCACAAGTAGCTACTTCATTTTTATGAAACTTGCTTAACTTTAAAAACTCACATACTACCTAACAGTTCAGACTTACAGGATGCATTGCACTGACTTTGTGATCTGACCTATATAGTAACAATACCTGGAAACATGCCACAGATTATGCTAATACATATTTGCGTAAGAATGAGAGAGGTATTACACCTATTAGAAGACCATCAATAAAACAGTAAACTTTTTTTTTAATGTCATGACATAATTTATAACATTAACAAACAAACAAAAATTAGAAAGAGGGAGAGATATTACACCTTAGTTAACACAAAGCCATGTGTGGACACTTAATAACAGTAGGGCCAATGCATTGGACTCAAGCCCCTAGCCAAGGCAGTGAAGTCGTCTCCTGCAGGATTCTGTGCCTTTCCCAGGGGAGCTCAATCCAAACATGAAACAGCATGGGACTCTGAACGCCTCACTCTTGCTAAACTCCAGGTAAACTCCAGGGAGTTACTTGTGGTTTTGATGCCATGATATAAGCATTTGCTATTTTTTTCTCTACAGCTATAGGTCTTCAAGACAAATACACAGCTCTTGAAGACAAATACACAGCTCTTGAAGACAAATACATCCATCAGAGAAGCCCCCTGAAATTTTAATTTGTGCACTGCACCAAACTATCATTACAAAACACTTCAAGTTAAGAATGTCATAATAAAACTCAAGAAACACTGAACACGTGCATCTTTGCATCTAGCTAGATTACAGGAGAGGAAGGAGAATAGAAGCTGTTAACAGAAATATGACATTTCACAGTACAAAATCCATTTAGTTCTGTCATTGACAGAATGAGATCCTTTATGAAACCATAAGATAGATAGTCAAAAGTTTAATTCCATACATTGATGTCACCTGAGATCACTTGCATTCTACTTTTAATGGAAAATGTTTGTTTCAGGACTGTGTTCAAGAGGAAATTCTGCCCTCCGATGCATCCTGTGTCATTTCAGTGCCCTACTGTGGCATGCAGCCGGAGAAACATGTTTTTCATATTCTTTTTGTGTCTCCATCTCAAGAAAGTAGGCTAAAAAAAGCTGTTAAGATGATGCCTTTGATTTACAGGGGAAGATGGAGGAGAAAAAAAAAGGCAACCAAAGAGCAGTAATGAGAGGTTTCAGAGGAAATTTTGTCATATTGAGATAAGGGAGAAGAGATAGCAATTGGATTCCACAGAACAATCTGGGAAATGGAAACCCCTAACTTCTCATGTTGCTCAACACTTTTTTGTGAAGCTACATTTGAAGACATCATAGCAGAAAAAATTAAACAAAATTCTAATTTTTAGATTCTGGAACAGTCTAACTAATGTGACATTTGGAAGCCAGACTGGGAACCTGAAGCAGCTGGCTGCAAGTTAAAGCAGATCTCAGACAAGCCCAGGCTAGAGACTGAACTGGCTAGAAAGTGGTGCTGCAGTGAACAGGTGTAAAGGCAGCATAAAACTGTTTGTAACTATCTGGGGTAGAACTACCACCCTTCAGGTCTACCTCACACAGGCTGACTTGGGCCCTGAAAGTTCCTGCAGGCTCCAGCAGTAAGGGAATACAACTCTTGGTGAGGTAGATGGACACTCAACCTGCTTCTGAACTGCTGAGATGACAGCACATAGGTAGCACAGAGAACTCTTCTTGTCTCTCCCTCCAGCCAGACCGCTACACAGATGTCATCTGCTCTTAATGCATAACACTGTTCTGAAGCAGTATAACAGTGATGAATTAGTTTGCTTCGCTTCTCCCAAATGCAGAAGCATTGTGGAGGGCAGTGAAGAAACAAACAGGCCGGGATGGATCCAGGGGTAGTATAGCTGCACTACGTTTGTGCTATGCCTGAGCTAACAAGCTGAAACAGAGGGCGAAGCAATACTCAGATGAAGCGCTAGAGCCTTCTGTCTTCAGCTGTGTTTGCAAGGCGCTAGGCTGCAACATATGGACTTTCTCAGTCAGCATCTCCAGACTGCCTTCCACTGAATGGGGTAGCTACACTGTAGCTTAACTCCTTTCAGCTTTCACAAATTTCTTTAATTTCTCTCACATTTTATTTTTATTTCTCTTCCACATTTTTAACGTATTCAAGCAGGCTGCTGATATTTTTCCTGTTCTTGTGTGCCCAATTTGCCTGCCACAGTAGCTCTAAAAACCAGAATCAATATTATCTGAAGAAGAAGTAAAACCCTAAGAGCCAAAACCAACAGTACAGACCAAAGATGATGCTCAGAGTATGAGGTACAGAGGAGAGGAGGACTTGTGGATTAGGAGAGGAAATGGAAAAAAAGTGATCACTTACCAGTCGGTGAAGTATGTCATCATTTTTCTTATATTGTGGAAAAGGGAACCAACTTCTAAAGAACTCAACTAGTTTTGACAGGATGCCTTGCTGTAGGGAACAGAAATTATTCCAATTAAAAAAAAAAAAAAGCAAAAAACCCCCCCCAAACCAACAGACAATTCTTTTATTTCTGTTTTTCCTTTTCTTGTCAACTCAGACCCAAGTACCTGTAAGGAAGTTTCCCTTACTGTTTCTGGCCTAACTTCAGAGGACGCTAAGGGAACATCTGCTTCCCATCAGTTTGCCTGTACACAAGAGCGTGAAATAAAGCCTTCAGTAACCCCACCTATTTGGGGCATAATGGATTGTTATGTTGGACTGTTAAAAATAACTACAGCTAGAATTAGTTTGATCTCAAGTTGGCAGCTCCTGCATCGATATGAAAGACTTTCTCTCTCCTTGAGGATAAAAAAAGCAGTAAAGTTAAATGGCTGACAGGGACTGAAGAAAAGTAAAAGACCAAGAGGAACAACCTCTCCTTGGCAGACCACCGCAGCTTGAGGACAAGGCTCTGGAGGAGCTGTAAACAGAGACAGGGAAGAGTGACTGTAAGAAGAGGAACTGTCCCAGAAACTCCCTGTCACAACCTCTCCATGCTGCTTCCCATGCAACATAAATCCACACTTTCATCTGAGCTGTAAACAGAACTTTGAACACCACTAATTAGAGGGACTCTCTTTTGGTCATCACACATTTTACTCATGTATCTTCCTAAAATACGATGCGTGAAAGATTATAATTAAATAGATATATGATTTTGCTTCATCCTGCAGCCATTCAATGAAAAAAAATGGGAGTTTTTGACACACAGTGTGTATCTACTTTCCTCAGACTGAGCTGATGGGAAGTATTTTCCAAAATATTTACTTAAATATATTTCATGAATTCTGAGGCCCTACCTCTTAATCTTCAGGCTGCTGACAGGTAATACAATCAAATAAAATGTATGCCAAAAAAAAAAAAAAGAATTGTGGAGCACTTACATTTTGTGGCATACTGTTTCAAAATTTTTTAAAAAACTAAACAGATTATAATAGCTTAATGTATAAAGCGTGTTTGCATTAAATCAGCTTCTTCTGTTTCTCTCTCTTGTTTTTTTTTTTTTTCTTTTTTTACCCCAACTATAAGGTGGGAAATAGAAGAGTAAAGCCAAGCAATAGGACCTCAGAGCTTTGCGGTTAGTCCTGTGATCAGCCTGACAGCCCTCTGAAAGGCAGCATGACATAAGTTTGAAGCAGCAAGCCAGGGCAGAAAGGCTTTGAGTAACATCAGAAATTGTCACTCTAAAGCCCTTATGCTTCACAGAACAATTTTTTCAATAACTTACTTTAATGTCTGTTTAGGTAACCTTACTCAAGCTTTTCTTTACGTACGCCTCATCTTTCTGTGTACAGTTAGAATTGCAGACCTATTGCAAAAGGAAGTGTTTTTAGGTCAGTGGAGAGACAAACCAATAACAGGGGTTTCATAATGATAGCTCTTCCCAATACATAGACATCATTATGGCATATTATGAGGAGCTGTCCCAGAAATCCACACTTTTTAGACTATGAAATAAATCCAAGTGATTGAATTTAGACGGTGCTCAAGGGCACCAACATAAGCTTGAAGAGAAGATTGTCACAAACTGCAGCACTAGATTATCCTCCAAGTTTCCTGTAAAGTGGCGCGAAAATAAAATTTTCCAGTTACAATTTGTAGAAAATTGAGATGAACTAAACAAAAGGCCTTGCTCTGCATTTGAGTGGCAGATACTTCATTCAGAAGTACTTTTCCCAGTACTTTGAAAGAGTACACAAAGAGTTGCCCATTTACTATTTAAAATTATGCCTCTTAGAGCCTACCATTTTCAACCACTAAGTCTTCATAAGTCCTTGGGTTTTTATCATGAACATTTAAATCTACATCAAGGATAATTTTAAACTGCTGCCAGCTGACTAAACTAGACTGTGGAATTAATGAAAAAAAACCACAAAACCCACACTAGTGTGCTACATAAAAAATATTTTGGTTTATTTTCTGTGTTTCAGTTTAAAAATAAAAATCTGAGCTTGCATAAACACTCATAGGCATGTCAGTGCTTGAAAACACAAAATAAGACAACCCACTGTCTTGGGCTATGACCCAGCAAAGTACAGTAACACACTGAATTATTCAGATCCTTGGAATACTGTCTCACAGTTTGCATTCCGATTGGGAGTGTTACTGACAAGTAAAACAACTTTCATCAACACACAAGTCAGGTCATGTTGCCAATGCTTCTGGAGTATTCTTACAGCTTGAGAACACTGCTCAGTCAAACTCTGTAAACTGAATAACAAAGATGTATAACTCATAACATTTTTAAAGGCATAGGACATGCACATTTTAGGTACATTCATTTGAATCTATAACAAAATTCCAAGGACGACTTCTCTTTGCACAGGATGAACTTGAAATGGCAACCTAGCAAGTATTTAAAATATCATCATTCACATTGGCACCTTTCAATTCTGTGTACTTCAGAAAGAAGATAATGCTACATATTAAATACCTTCCAGCTACCAAAGACCTAGAATTAAGTGGGTGGGAGCCCTAGACAAAGGACTGGTCCCTCTGCCTTTCCATATCAGGTCACCTGCACAGGTACTGAGGGCTAGCCCCAACACAATCCTCAGCAGCTGCCTCCAGCACCAGCCTTGTTCTAGTGATGAAATACTATCACATCTCAAATGGGATAAGGTGTGAGAATATAATCAATTTAACCATTCACATATGCACAGCAGTCTAGGAAAATGAGTGAGAAAGGAAAAATGTAAATGGGAAGAAACATATTCCTTAAAGATCAAGCAGAATTACTCAAACAGGATTTAATTCCAGAAAACAGGTTTAGGAACTCTTGCAAACAGTGCTTTTGAGTATCAAGTGATCAAGAGACCAGAACTTTAGCTGTAACTTTCTCCAGAGATTGGTATAGCCAGGAACACTGCACCTATAATTACTGTGCTAAATCACATCTGTATACTCCCTCAGATGGGAGCCTGGCATTTCATCAGCCCTCAGAAAACAACCTTGAAGCAACTTTACAACTCTTCAGGTCATTAAGACCATGCTCTGATGTAAAGAAACAACCAAATCTACATGCACAAAAAACTATTTAAGATGTGCTTCAAATTCATGCTGATGCCTCTGCCTTTCATTAAGCCTGAACCATATGCTCTGCTTGTCAGGACAGCAAGACACAGCAGCAACGTTTCTATCAGTCACTAGCAACCTCTTTTTTTTTCCAGTTTTTTTTTTTCAGTCCCTGAAGACATTAAAACTAAATCTCTGCCTTGCCAAAATCTTGCAGACTGTGTCTGCACAGGGTTCCTACTTGACCGAATACAAGCAGAATAAACAATCTCAACTCAAAGACAAAGCAATACTTCAGCTTTTCTATTTTTATTAAAATAAAGTGTTTAAGGCACTGGTAAACTAGCTTTTCAGAACAGAAAGAAGATGATACACACACACTAGGCATCACTCACCATGGAACATCATCTACTCCCTGTGATTATATTTTGCATTACACTAAGCCTCAAGTATGATCACTGTTTATTAGGACTGTGGGTAGGTACATATTCAGAACTCAGAAACCATTTTTTCCCCAGACATTTTAGAACTTCAGTAGACTAGGCCAGCAAAGGCTGAGAGAAGGGAAGTGACAACAGTTCCATATAAAAATGAGGAAATGATTGGATGGGAATGTAAATTACTTGCCTGTATGTCATATAAAAGTTGCAACAAAGCCTCAGATCCTTCTAAATCTAGTCTACTTCTTTAAATGTGTGGCTAGATGCCTCTCCCGCATTGCCTTTCCTTTCAAGGCATCATACCAAAACAGGACACAGAAATCAAATGACAAAAACAGACTTTCTGACATCAGATTACAAAAGAAAAGTGTTAACATTCCCAAACTGGTACTGGAATAGCAGCAGAAAGAACCTATGACATTTTATCACTAGAAATTACACACAGGTTTCTCCCTTCCACTACGTGTCCTTGTCTAGACAGAGATGAGACACTGTGAATGTCATCCTAGTATTTGTAAGAAATGGACAGCCTATTTTCATGTACCCACTCCCTTCAAGTTGCAAGGCAAACCATGACAAATTACGTCTACATCTGACACAATACTGGAGGACTTGCTCCCAACACAATAAGTGTAAAATGCTTGAGGGAAGGGAGGGGAAAAAACAGAATACTTGAGGCTTTTAAAAGCAGTATATCTTAATACTTTTGAGGTTCTTAACCCCACAGCACTTTTGTATTAAATTAAGTGGAAATTATATACATGAACACAGCATCATACTGCTTTACTGACTTCCACAAAAGTAATTATGCAAAATAAAGTAATGCAGCTAACAAGTGATAGTCCATGCATTACTTCATAGTAACAACAGATAATCAGCCAATGAAATATGTCACCCTATTTTCAATTAACAGTGGTTTAATTAAAGTCTTCCTGCACTAAGCCAGAATAGGTATCTTCAATGTAAATGTACCACAAAACTGCCAATAGCTTTTTGAAGGGAAAATATATTTTCAGGTGATTTCTTGAGTGTTATGGTGAGTGACAGCTGACAATTCTGAAAAGTAAGGGTAGTGGACCTAATATTTCCATGAATACTTTTAAGGGTAGCTTAAATTAAAGTATAAAAAATTGTGAGTTAAACTCTGAATTAAATTTTGCCTTGCCTTGTGATCACAGATAGAAGCAATCATTATTATAAATGGAATAGCTATCCACATCAATAGTAACTAGAAATCAATTTATTCACTAAATTTAAAATAATCTTACATTAGAGAAACCAGCCCAGGAAGTATGGAGACACTGCAAGAATCACTTCTCCTCCTCCCCTCAGATAATCTGTTTCTTAGGCTCAAAAATCCTCAGCAAATGAGACTGGAGTTCTGTATGAAGATCCTCTGTAATTTTTTTCTACATGATTGCTGAAGTCTTTGAAAAGCTGTAAACTTTACAAGAACACTGGTGAACAGCACTAACCTTAGGGATTCTCGTCATAGTATTATTAATTTTTACAGTCTTTGTCTAATCCATGTGCTGGGCACGCAATGGTACTTACTGGTCTGCTCAATGGATTTGCACCCTGTATCTTACCTACATGGTCATCTTTGATCAGAAAGTGGGGTATGAGAGGAGACCTAACACACTTCCATAGGACTGCAAGTCTCAGAAACTGGGGATCAAGGCTGCAGTGTACCTGGCCAACAGATAAACACAAACTATGACACATCTATCCACAAAGAAAGACTCTTAAGAGGACTGAAGATCAAAGCAAAATGTTTCATGTTTTATTACCCTGTTTGTTCAAACAGACTAATGAGTGTGTGAGGAAGTTTATAAAACCTGTACAGAGCATGGTTGAAAATAATATCTCTATATGAATATATGACCTACCAACACTTCTCTGAATACTGCTAGATGAATAAACTTCACACTGCCACTTCTAAATTTCAGCTTCAAAGACTGTGCATGTCAGTCCTTGAAAGTACACCATAATATTGCAAACATTTCAAAACTCACACATTCTTCCCCCAGATCAGAAAAAAACTGACTGATATTATCCACATCAATTCATACACTTCTGAATCCTACCCCACCTAAGATCCTAGACAGAGCAGAATAGATTAAAAATCCCATGAGAAAAAAATAGTTCTGACCTAAAACAAAGGAGGAACAAGAGATACACATACAAAACAAAAAAAAAACTTTGTTGAAATAAAGCCTAAATAATTGTGACTATTACTTGGCTAATTCCTTGAAGCACTTTGAGAACTGAGTAGCAGATACATGTCAAGATGGCATTATTTGAGAAAAGATCCTAAGAAAAGCATCAGCTCTCCTCATTTGCCATATGATCTTCCATTCACCACAATCTGCAGGGAGACATTCTAGAGATCTCAGGGCCACTCCTATCACTGCCAGCTAATTGGGAGGATGGAACATTGCGGAAAAGGGAAGCAGCAGAACTTACAAATGACAGGGAAGGGGTTGTGAACTTATTTGAAGATAGCTGAAGAGGTATGAAGCAGGCATGAACAACAGGAATACTAAGCTCCAGTGGAAGGTTAAAAGCCACCATGGGCAACAAACAGATGACCTAAGGTGCACAAAGATGGAAGCTACTGTAAATGGTGGAGAAAGAAGAGAAAGAAATGGTAATTCTTCAGAGGCAATGCATCAACCCATGAATGCGTGGTTTGGGTTCTTACCTGTGAAGCACTGACCACCTCAGCCTGCAGCAGCCAGGACAAAAAAGTCTGCATGGAGACTTCTTTTCCTCCTGGCTTAGCACATAGCTGAAGCATGTTCACTGAAAACAGAACTCTCCACTGTGGAAGTGAAAGAGGGAGGCAGAAAATAACTGCTCTTTGCATGCTCCATCTAGATGCTAAGGAGAAGACAGATTGTCCACTGAATTTTCAATATACTTGTTGCAAGGCGATTCTTACATTAGCTGCCTCAAAAGACTAATTTCCTCACTCACACTATCGCTCCTCTGTGTCACATGGCCTATACACTACCAATAAATAGTAAAATTTATTTTTAATAAGGAAAACAAAAAATGTGTGGGCCATATTAGGTGTTTAATGGCCAAATTCTCGAGCACAATTTTAATACCAAAATGTTTTTAAAAAATCAACAAGCTTTTACTTAAAATGATAAAGAAATAAGAAGTCTGAGCTAATCAGCTGATGATCCCTGTCAGGTGTTACTGTTAGAAAATTGCCATAAGCTAAGCACAGTTCTACTATCTCATTCAGATCAGTTATTGTATTTATACTTCCCAGAAATCCACTTTCTTAACATGTTTTGTGACAGAGTAAGAGTTTAGCAACTGAATGCCTGAGAAGGGCTGGGCACTATAAATATTCTGTTCCAGAAAATTACAGGTTTTGTTCCCAGAATATCATGCTAAGCTAATATATCCAGTAAATAAGATAATTTACAACACTCAAAAAATTCACTATAAAAGTCTCTTGCTTCCCTAGCTAACTTAAGTGTAAAGAAACACTTCAAACTATGCTGGCAAACCATATATTTCCAAACACATTTGCAGACAAGATATGACAACTGGTTTGGGTTTTTTTGGTTGGTTGTTTTCTTCTTTTTTTTTTTTTTAAATACAGTAAGAAATTTATCTTTATCCCCTCTGATTTTGCCTATTTGTGAAGCAATGTGGTTCTCTTTCAATAAGATAAATACTCAGAAACAGAAGAGTGCTCACTTTCTGGGCAGCAGTCACAGTCTGCTCTTTCTGTTTTTCCACTGCTGCACATTGCTCTGCCTTCTGTGACACAGATGAACATACTTCAAAATCTGTGTGTCCCAAATCCTGCAGATATTGGTAGAGCGGGGAATTCTGAAAGGAAATTAAAAAAGAAAAATGTGAAAAAAACAATGTTAAAAATCATTCCCTGTTTCCCACAAGACACAACTGTGAATACAGCAACCACACAACCAGCAATGAATGGAGAGCAGCCCTCAAGAGAATTACTTTGGGATAGCAGTGGATGAAAAACTGAACATGAGCCAGCAATGTGCGCTTGCAGCCGAGAAAGCAAATCATACCCTGGGCAACGTCAAAAGAAGCGTGGCCAGTAGGTCCAGGGAAGTGATTCTCCCCCTCTACTCTGTTCTGGTGAGACCCTACTTGGAGTGCTGCATCCAGCTCTGGAGTCCTCAGCACAGGAAAGACATGGACCTGTTGGAGTGAGTCCAGAGGAGGGCCCTGAAAATGGTCAGAGGGCTGGAGCACCTCTCCTATCAGGAAAGGCTGAAAGAGTTGGGGTTATTCAACCTGGAGAAGAGAAGACCCCAGGGAAACCTTATTGTGGCCTTTCAGTAATTAAAGCGGGCTTAAAAGGGAGATGGAGACAAACTTTTTACCAAGGCCTGTAGTGACAGGACGAGGAATAACAGCTTTAAACTAAAAGAGGGTAGATTTAGATTAGATAGGAGGAAGATTTTTTTTTTTACAATGGGGGTGGTGAGGCACTGGAACAGGTTGCCCAGGGAAGCTGTGGATGCCCCATCCCTGGAGATGTTCAAGGCCAGGCTGGATGAGGCTTTGAGCAACCTGGGCTAGTGGGAGGTGTCCCTGCCCATGGCAGGGGGGTTGGACTAGATGATCTTTAAAGGTCCCTTCCAACCCAAACCATTCTGTGATTCTATGCAACAGGAAAAAAACCCAACAGAGTTAATAGCAAAGGAGACAAAATTTTGCTTTAAATCTCACTTAAGTTTTATCCTGACCATAATGAAAGAGGCTGCAAGAGAGTCAACATACAAAACAATGTGATGAGAAATAAGCATGCAACCAATCAACTTTTGCCATAGCAATATTTTTCTAGGTTACCTGATAGGGTTCTTTAACTTGTAACTTGATGTTTTCAATAAACAACTTATGTATTTGATAATATATTTTAAAATATTATTGTGTGACTCCAGAACACTTAATGACATTATGTTCCTAGTGTTTATAAAAATTGAATAGATTATACTTTGAACTACTTCTGCTGAAACAAACTTTACAACTAGAGCACTTTTCAGACATCAATAAATGAAGCCTCACTGTAACCTGATTAGGTACCTATAGAGTGTTTTACAGAAATGGAAAAACAAATTAGAAAAAAGGCATCCGCTCTCTCCAAGGATGGTACTAACACCTCTTGCAAAGCAGTATCACAGTTATTTAAAAAAACCACCAACAACAAAAAACACCAACTTATTTAGGCCACTGGCAAAACTACGAATTCACAAAAAAGTCCTTAATTAAACTTCTTGGAGAAGTTTAATTTTTTTTCATTTTTAGGTATTTATCTATATAGACTTCTGAAATTTCTTGTTGTCATATGCATCAGATATCTAGATTTATTTAACTCTTAATTTTCTGTTCACATCCACATATATGGCCGTATCTAGGATAGATTTGATGGAAAGGATATTTATGCTAACTCCAGTTCTACTCAGGACACGTAAAGAGACTTGTTCTTTAAGAAAACTCCTCAGCAATCAATCTTAAATAGCCTAGTTAGTTAGGGATTCATTTTGACCTCTGAATAATTTTATCAACATCCCACACTAGTATGCGAACACTAGCAAACTGCATAGGAAGAACACAAACTATTTTAAGAATTATAACACACTATTAGTGAGATAATAAAAATACTGCAAATAAAAAGTAAAAACTTTACAGTAAATAATGCACAGTTGCAGAGGTCTGCAGAAGCAACCACCAACAGAACATCTACTAGAAATTGTTACATTAACTATCATTAACTTTCTGGTGAGAGTTGTGAAGGCAGCCCACATACTGTGACCATGTACCAATATGACCAAATCCCAAATGGCTGCCTTCCATACAACAAAACTTGGAAGCAATCATTCATACCAGCTGAACAAATTAACTTGTTCCCATTAGGGATTTTTTTTTAACCTCATCAAAGTGCTATTTTGATCACTGTTACCTATTTAAAGCATGCAAATTCATACTTTTGCATGCTTTCCTTGAGCTACTCACAACAGATTCAATGTCCAGTCATGACCTGAAACTCAAACATTTGTACCAACTCACAGCTCTGTGCAGGTACAGACAATCCTCCTCACCCACAATGACGACTGTGCAAAACAGTAGGATAGGTTAATGACTCATTTCCTTGTGGGAATTTTTTCAGTGTGACAACTAAATCCTATCTTTTTTCCAAGTATCCTTCCTCCACGGTTGAGTACTTTTTCAAATGCATCAGACTCTAGTAAAACAACGTGCTGTTCTGGACTGGCTAGAAAGAAGGTATGTTTCTCTCTAGGTCATGCCACTTTACCAGAATTACTTAATTAAAATGGAAAAGAAAACATAATAGACTAGAATACTTCTCTTATTTATTTAAGACGCTGTTAAATTCGCTTAATAACTTCAGGACAAAACACAGAATATGAATGGATATGCATAAGCTTGTAGTCTTAAAATGTTTTTCATACAGAGTGAGACTGCACACTGCCAGCACACTAGAACAACCTGAACATCCCCACACGAGAGGCTTTAGGGTAGCATGGAGGCTTCAGTCAGAATCAGCCAGAATTTTCCCCACTTAGACACAGATGCATAGACAAAACAATGGGTGAACAGAGAATGTTTTATTCAAAATCACAGTTTTGATGCTCGCTCCAGTCAGGACACCAAGGAAATAGTATCTAGGCTCTTGATAGTCTTGTCCATAGTCTTGACCATACTTGTCCATCATCTTGATCATCATCTTGATCCTACTTGTTACAAGCAAGGCTAGTCATCATTTGACACACGACTCTTCTTGTACTTTATTGGTTCTCACCAACATACAGACAGCTGGCAAAATAACCCAAATATACTAAGGAGTTTTTCCACTAGTATCTTGGAGTACACCTTGCTTTGGAGTCCATGAGTTAATTTTCCAAAGCTGATCAAGAGAACTGGTCTAATGCTCACAAAAATGGATGAAGGAAGGCAGAGAGAGAGAGAGAAACAGTGACTCTGTCCACTGAAGACCGAAAGAATTAGCTAAAATCCGGAATGCTACATTCAGTAAGTGTAACACTGCATAGATGTAAAAATGCCCAATTCTTCCCTCTTACTGGGTATTTGGCAACATCAAAACCTTTCATCTAACTGTAATTTGTACATTTTCTGATCTACAGAAATAGTAAAAAAAACACCATCTCTTCAAATGTTAATGAAACTTTAGCCCCCAGGTAGGATAAATAATTGTATTAGTCCTCATAATAAAGGTAGAATACAGGCACCTTACTACGTTTTACATAAATTCCTTATGATTAACTTTTCAAACACTTTTACAGGGTCTCATTATGGCCAGATTTGCAATTTTTTTATTACTGCTCAGAACTGAAAATCAGTTTTCTGATTATGGAGTTAGCAAGTGATAATTGATTAAAATTTAACTTTGAATGTTTATCACATATTCCTTCAAGCAGGTAAGGGTTCTCCTCTTTCAGTTTCTCAGAAAGTACTGAGGCTACAACAATCCTACTGTAACACGTTGCTCTTGCTCTACATGCTTTCTCTTTCCCATTCTTTTCTAAAAGATTGTTAGCAGAATTTAAGTGCATGTTGGAAAACCTCATTGTTTATTAACTTAAATGACTAAGAACTACGCTGTGACTTATGCTGTAAGTAAATCCACCATTGTTCCCCTTTCTGAATCCATTAGTAGCATGTAAGATGTGGATAAAGAAGGCACTGAATAAGAACTGGGTTGAGGCCCTTGTGAAATTAGATTATTAAGAACCTTAATGAACCAATCATAAAATTCTGCCATTAAGAGTGAGGTCTCCAGTGTAGCACACTCAGCTTTACATTTTGCTTAGAAAATTTGAAGATTACACTCCTCTTCTATTGGAAATATCACTGATGGCATACATACAGTAGCCTATGCTAATGGAAAAACACACTATTTGTTTATTTATTATATTTCATGTCCTAGATACTGCCTAACTGTAAATGTTACTGACAAGCCTGTCACTTGTAAAGCTGTGTGGTCTGTATAACTCATTGAGGATGTCTCCAATAGTCCACGACATATGTAATGGCTAGAAAATCTATCAAACGATTTTTAAAGTTGAAGGGTAGCTTTTATGTATGTGAACATTCACACGGAAGTTCCAATGTTATCAAAGAATCTGAAAATCATTAATTATGCAACTACAAAAATGCAATTTGATACCATTAAAATATCCTATTCTATATACTGCTTGTTTCAATACAAAAGACAGAAGTATTATACTTAAAGCTTACAAAGCATTTTTATCTTCATAAATCTTCAAAAACAATAATCTCATAATGTGTCTGAAAACCCACAAATTATAGCTCTGAATTTCTAGATTACATCCTTACCCAAACCTCTCACTCCTAAATGCCTTATTTCCCTTAAAAAAAGATCACAGATGTGCACATATTCATGCACATGCACTTCTAACTGTGAGAAAAGTACCTTGGTTTCAACTCATGCTGTCATTCATCAGCATTGTCAAGCTCAGCTGTTTTCACCTGCAAATGCCATGATAATATTAAAAAAATCTACTTCTTGGTTGGGGAAAATAGGAGAGACCTACCTTTTTCCCTCCTAATTTTCTTTGCCAAAAACTCACACATTCCTTTTTTCAACAGTTCAGCATTTAAAAAAAAAAAAAAAAGCAACTGATTGCACATTTCTGCATATATTATAGATACTACACTTTTAGTTTAAGACATTCAGGACATACCAGAAAGTTTATCCTTGTAAGCAGTAACAGGCTGTAATTTTAAAAAAAATTTAGACTTGAGAAAAAGCTTTTATGTTAGAGTGTGAGGTAAAGGGACAGCAAGGCTGT